CTAATAAATGGTCCTGGTTAGCACTACATAAGTCTTGTCAGTCAGGTCAGCAAATGTTTTCTTTCTTCCTTAGGCTGGTCATACACTATACATTTTTCTTACAATTTTCTGCCCAATTTCCTTTTAGATTTACCTGCAACTATGTAGTGTAAGGGCTTTCCTAATTGGATACAATTGAAAGTGTTAGGTTTGACCTGTTATATGGTTTTTGGTAAATCTAAAGCAAAATGGTCAAGAAAATTGTATAACCTATGGCCAGCATAAGTCAGTGCTGCAACTTTAGCCGCATCTTCCTGTATTCCTGAAACACTTGTGTGCCCAATTTAGATTTTGCTCTTACAGTCATTGCAACATGCTGGAGAGCAATCATGTGGGTGTATGGAAGCCAAAACTAATGCCACATTGCCAGCCACATTTTATCTACACTCACTGGCCACTTATTAGGTACACCTGTCCAATTGCTTGGTAACACAAATTGCAAATCAGCCAATCGCATGGCAGCAACTCAATTCATTTAGGCATCTTGATGTGGTGAATACTTGCTGAAGTTCAAACCGAGCATCTGAATGGGGAAGAAAGGGGATTTAAGTGAATGAACATAGCATGGTTGTTGGTGCCAGACGGGCTGGTCTGAGTATTTAAATAAACTGCTGATCTACTGGGATTTTCACGCACAACCATCTCTAGGATTTACAGAGAATGGTTCTGGAAAAGAGAAAATATCCAATGAGCTGTAGTCGTGTGGACAGAAATGCCTGGTTTATGTCAGGTCACAGGAGAATGGGCGGACTGGTTGCTGCAACATTCAGGTGGTAGTCAGAATTTGGTGTAAACATGGAAGCATAGATTCATCCTGACTTGTATCAATGGTTTAGGCTGGTGATGTAGTGGTGAGGGGGATAAGGCACTAGCAAGGTGTATCTAATAAAGTGGCTGGTGAGTGTATGTTCAGGTTACAGTAGGCACATGCCTAGGGGGCCAGTTTTATGAAGGACACTTGCATTTGGAAGCCTAAACCTGACATCAGGTGCCAGGGGTGTACGTATAGGGATTGTGACACTGCCCCATGCTGCAGGGGGCTCGTGCAGATCCCCTGTACACCTGGACAGGAGGGGCAACGGCATGTAGAGTAACTGATCCCTCCATGAATAAATGTGAAGCTCTGTACACAACTATTTATTACGTGCTGCAGAGGTGTCCTCCAGCTCCTTTCCTGTCTCAAAGGCGAAACATCGGTCTGATTTAGACCCCTGATATTTTACCAAAGCCCCCAACAGGGGTCCTAAATATACGTAAATTAAAAAAAAAAAACTTTACACCACTGGCGGAACTACCAGGGTCTCCAAAGGTCTCACTTGCAACCGGGCCCTGGTTATCCGCCACTATAGGGGGACCCAAAGACTGCAAGAAGGGGGCTCACTGCAGGACCTTAGTATTCCATGGCTGGAGTGCATGGGCCAGGGAGTCCTTTCATGGTTTCTTGCACCCGGATCCTGAAGGTTCTAGCCAACAGCCCTGCAAGGCGTGTTTTCTATTACTGGAAAACAGATGATCCACTCATACTACATATGTTGGCGGGTACATCTAGTTGGGAAAGGCCACATTTTGATTTACATTCTTGTCAGTAAAAGGATAGATTTGTGGTGATTGGAACTGAGTTACTTCATTAGAATTCTCCCAAAACCACTGTTCCATGGAGAACTTTTTATACAATAGAAAAGCCATTTGTTCACGCTACTAGTCTTACTCTCTGCATTTCAGATTTATATAAACCCCTACTTTTGACCATACAGCCCCTTTAACCTATAAATCTATTCAAATGGGAGGGAGAACTAGAACAGTCTGTCTCCAGATGAAACAAGATATTGAAACTAGTCAATTCATCTTTCTTTAGTAGAGTAACTATAAACTGTTGACCAGGTGATATTATACCCCAGTATATTTAAATGGGACCAGTAGGCATCTTGCTTATACTGGAGATGTAATAAAGTGGGGCAAAAGCAATAAAATTTACAAAAAAGGGACAATATCCCATAGATGGTGGTATTGTCCTGATTCTGCTTTTTGGATGCATCCTTGAACTGGTGGAAAAGATCACGTCCATCTCCCTCCCATATGTCCTTTGCGTGGTCCTATTTCATAAAACCTAATTTCCAGTTCTAAAATATAAAAAATACTACCCTGTTTTATTGAATAAAGCCAAGTCTAATCCCAAAGCACTGGAAATCAATAAATCTACCTATGTTAGGCAAATTGTTATGAAGGATGTCCAAAATCTGCCCAATGGAGGAAATTAGAATTGTCAAACAGTCCAACTTTTCAGCCTTTTTACTTTATGTAGGAAGGGTGAATAACATTTTAAAACCTTAGAAATCTATGAATGAATGGCCAACATATCCTCTGTGGAACTAATAAGTGATTCACTCCATGCAAATGGCTAATTCAAAGACTATATTGACCATCCACATTGCCGTATAAGAATGGAAAAAGACAGTTGCATTTTTTTTTCCCCCCAATCTATTTTTTTTTCTTCTATAACAGGAATGTTTTTTTATTTCTGTATTGGGCGTTAGGACTAATGGATTAATATGCAATGTGCCTCAAAAGATACTGTCGTGTTTTTTTTTTTTTTTTTTTTTTTTTTTTTTTTTTCTTGTATGTCTTTGGTGTTTTTAAAAGCAATATAAAAAAATGATCAAAACCCACCACCATTGCTGAAATGACAGGACCAACCTCTCTATCCAACATGCAGTGCACCACAGTAATTTTGGTATTGGGCCTTTCTGTATCTGGTTCTATGCCCGATTGTCTCTTGTAATGAAGAACAAGGGGTGGGTACACATGCATTGTAGAGCTACTGACCCACTGTGCTGCATGTTGACCTGCCCAGTGTCAAACTTTGTTACTCCTGTGTTGCCCTCATTTGAGTATTTAGAAGGGGCACCTGTGACATGGCAACTATTGCAGTAAATATAAAGCTTCTCTGGTAACGCTGTTCATATTCTGGCAGTGATAGTTGCGCTAATCTCTTGTGTACTTGGATCAAATGGCAGTAAAATTATTAGTGGTAAATGGGGAGGAGTAAAGAACCCAGAGGTTCCCTGCCTGCAGGATTCTGACAGAAAGTCTGGCTTTGCCTTCTCTATAGATCCAGATATGGCCAAGCTTATGCAAGAATCTCTGAATATTCAGTCTCAAGTCAGGCTTGCATGTGGAAGCTTTTTGTTCTGATTTGGCTTCACTTGAGAGTATGAGGTGAAGTTCCTCAGAAATCTCAATGGTTCTGCTGTCACCAGATTGCTTACACTGTTCACACTTTGCTAAAAGCTACTGGTAGACTTTTAACAAGTGACTTTTGTTCCTCTAAATATAAATTTAAATTTCACTCACCTTGTTAAGTATACCCAGTATATGACATCTATTTAAAAAAAAAAAAATCAAAATGGTTTCTGGCTGGTGTGATGGGCAGCTAGCATTTTGTGTATAGTAGTAGCCCATTTATTCTATCAAGCTTTGTGAAGACGTATTGCTTTAGAAAAGGCCTGGATTCTTTCTTAGATACACAGAATATAACTGGCTACTAACATTTATAGGTAAAGTTGATCCAGGGAATATCCGATTGCCTCTCGGGGGATCAGGAAGGAATTTTTTTTTATATTTTTTTTTCTCTCTGCGCGAGCAAATTGGATCGTGTGTGTTGCAAATAAAACCGTTTTTATTTGCAAATATTTTAAAATTTGTTTTTAGTTTACAATTTGTTTTTGCAGTTTAAACACTTTCCATCCATAGGACGTACCCTTGGATGGGAAGGGTGATGTCTGTCATTGCTGCATCAATGACCAAGATATCTGGTGATTCTGTGCAAAATAAAAGTAATCTGAACAGCTAAAGAGCTGCTGGATTACCTTCACAGGTGGCAGAAGGGGGGTTAATTCCCTCCCCATGTCTCCATAAAGAGGACCTGTCACTGCTTATCACAGGGATGTTTAAAATTTTCTTCTTTTTAATCACTTTATTGCCAACACAAATGTGGAGACAATGTTTAAAAAAAAAAAAAAAAAAAAAAAAAATTTAAGTGCCCAATCCCACCATGCTGCATGCAATGGCAGTCACGTCCATTCCACATGCATATGCAAACGGCTATCACACCACACGTGAGGTATTGCCACAAATTTCAGAACAAGAGCAATAATTCTAGCACCAGACCACCTGTATAACTCTAAACTAGTAACCTGCAAAGGTTTTTAAAGCGTGTCTATGGAGATTAAGTATTGTAGTTTGGCATCATTCCATGAGCATGCCCAGTTTTAGAGCATGACATGTTTGGTATCCATTTACTTGATATAATATCTTTATTTTACCAAAAATTGAGTATTGTGTTTTCATGCATTAAAATAAAAAGCATTTTTTTTTCCCTAATTGTGTTTGAAAAACCACTGCGCAAATACTCTGACATAAACTGCAACACCACCATTTTTATTCTCTAGAGCAGTGGTCTCCAAACCATGGCCCTAGGGCTGGATGTGGCCCTTTGCTTGCCTTTATCCGGCCCTTGGAGCTGCTCCTCCCACTGATACAAGACATTGTTCTACCAAAGGACACCAACAATGGGGCACCATTTCTCTCATTGTCAGCAGTAATGGGGCACTTTTCCTTCCAATAGGACACTGTTCCTCCCTCTAATACAAACTATGGCAATGTTTACTCCCACTGATGACAGGAAAATTTCAACTCCCACTGGCCAGTCTGGCCCCCATAAAGTTTGAAGAATAATAAACTGGCTTTGTTTTAAGAAGAGGCTCTAGAACAGGGTTCTAGAAACTTTCTAAAGTGTTTAGGGCTTCTAAGTTTTTTCTAGTAAAGAAGTTTACATGTAGGAGAGGAATGTTAGAATTGGCCTGGACTTAAAGCATATACCTGTAGATTCATAGTGTAGAAACGATACCTTGAAAACAGTCCAGATTGTATACAATCTGTTTTCATGCATGTCTCCTGAGCAGTTTGACTTCTTTGCTTGGATGCCCAATGGACCCACCTCCATGAAGAGTCCACCACCCACCTTTAAAGGAGTCACCACAATGCAGGATATTCTAAAGGCATTGCCAGATGTGAACACTACAGCTACTGGCATGGCTACAGTGTGGCTTATCAGCAGAGAGCCCCAGGATAGGGTAAGTGCCAGAGTCTGGCGAGAAGCAATGTACAAAGGTGTGCTGCATATTGAACATTTAGTGCAAAGTGATGTCATATGGAGCCTTCTGTACATGCAATTTCCACAAATTGTTACGGTGATGTTAGAAAACGCTCATTACCTAGGTTACAGTATAGCTAGTAGTCATTGTGAGGGACCGCCGTGTGGCACCACTAGCACTCCACTGGTCAGGCGTGCCCAGAGCGGAGTCTAAGCCCCAGGGTACTTGTTCACCAGGGCCCCTGATGGTGGGGATGGACTTGTAGTACCCCGAGACCAGGTCGCCAATACTGAGCACACCTGTCAGTGGTAGGGGTGTTCGCCAGGGGCTCCAACCAGGGAGAGCCAGATGTGAGGAGGTCGGGTGACCCCGATGGGATGGATGGCTGAGCAAGTGCGAAGTCAGACAGGCCGAGTTGGTAACGTAGAGGACGGTAAGGTACAAGGGAGCAGGCAGAGAATCGTCGGGTCACATGCCAGGTCAGCAACAGGAGGTCAAATCTAATGAGGGGCATCCAGGAAGAGGTCAGGCAAAGCAAGGGTCTGGGCAGGAGAAATCAGCAGGTCAAGAACAATCCGGGTCAATAAACTTACAAGGCACAGGTACAGAATCACAGGAAGCAGGTAAGACCAGAAGGCAACGAAATGACAGCTCAGGGACCTTTAAATATCCTGCGCTGCCATTGGTGCCCAGCGGGCGGCCGCGGCTTCTACTGCGCATGCGCGAACTCGAACGCCGCGGCCGGCCCGGACCTAGTGCCCATGTACAGGGCGGAGCAGTGCGCCTGCGCCGGGACCATCGTGGCAGGGATCGAGGGGATCCCTGACAGTCGTATTCAAATGTCCTGTAATGTTGCAGTCTTGCTGCTTATCCAAGTCACTTCTTCAGTTCAGCATTAGTGTTACTAAACCCAGGACCCTACATTCACTATATCTGGTCTCCCACAGTACACACAACATGGAAATGCAATTATTTTAGTAAATATAAACTGCTAAATACCTTTTCTCATCAGCAGTTAAAGCAGTCTTATGACTTCTATCAGCGTCCAGCAGAACACTGGTTAAAGCTTGTAGGAGTTTTCGTTCTCTAGGATGCAAAGCCCCTAACCTCTGGACAGTGCTGATTGGCCTGTCAGGCTGATTGGCCTTTCTAAAGAAGAAAACCTCTAGCAATACACACCAAACTGAGCATGTGCAGAATGGCTACTGTTTAGTCTGTCTTATCAGGAGATGAGATGTGGACATTTGAATAAGTGTAGCAGAGAAGACGGGATCAAACTGCGTTTTTACACAATGCAGAGGATTAACCCCGTAGGTTCCACAGTCTGTATATGCAGTAAAGCATGCTTGTTATACTGACTGATTTTACTGTTGTGGGTTTAGTAACTTTAAAGTATGTGTAAACTGTCAGCTTGTAAAACAAACCATTCAATTTTTAAAATGGAAATTAAAGGCAAAACATTTGTGTATAGATATAAAAAACGGGGGAGGAAAAAATTGCTAAATGATCACTTACCCTCTAACCTCCTTATGCAGTTGAGAACAGAGCTGGGGGATGATAAACAGCAGCACACTGAACGGCTAAGGAATGGCTGGGGGAGGCAGATGTCTGATCATTGCAGAGCACATGGAGTTCCAGCACAACTTGAGAACTGACCACTCTGCTCTCATGTGAGTTCTCAATAGGAAAACAGGGACTGGCAGGAACACCAGGGATTTCCCAGAAAGGAAGCAATACAAAGAACGGAATACTTCATAAAAGTACATAGCACAACAAGCACACACCAGGAATAGATGTTGGTTTGCATATTTAACTCCATTTCTGAGTGTCATTAACATCAGTAGCATCGAAGTGGCTTGGATAAACTGTAAAACTTAACACAGAACAAGTGTAGTTGAAGGGGATTTGACTACTAGCAATATGGTGATTTAATGTTGAACATGTACATTGTATTGCTAACCTCAAAGTTCTTCTCTACAGAGACATCTAGGAAACTACACTAATGTACATTTTACAGAGAAGACCCCACAGAATTTAATTAAGGAATTCCAGGATAAACTGGCTAAAATCTCCAAATCCATCCAAGAGAGAAATGGGGCCATGCGTCAGCCTTATCCCTACCTGGACCCAACTTATATAGAAAACAGTGTCTCCATTTAACATGAATACTGGCGGACCTGCTGGCTGTCTTGTTTCTTCTCAATCCACACTTGGGATTAGCATAGACCTTGTCACCACAGCAGAATGTTGTACAGGATTATGAGATTTTGTATCTGTAAGAACATGTTAAGAGATTAACCCTGTATGTGTAATAAAAGATTGCTCGGTGCATGTCTTGTCAGGAGTGATTTGTCCTTTTCCTATAGGGTGTTTCAGGAGGACACTTGAGAGTAATTGTATGATTCATGCAACAATCAGGAACAATCCTAAAGTGGTTCTAAAGGCAGGAGGTTTTTTGCCTTGATGCATTCTCACTGCAAGCTGCTCCCCCCCCACCCCTGCCCCCTCCTATACTTATCTTAGCCCCATCTGGATCCAGTGAGGTGCACAAGAGCAGCGGCTCTCATGATTGTCTCCCACCTCATTGGCTGAGATGTGGCAACAGAAGCCATTAGTCAATCACAGCCAGTGAGGGAGCAGGGCCAAGCCATGCTGTGTACGTCAATGGACACAGAGCAGGGCTCGGAAGTCAGCTTTGCACAAGTGCCCCCGTAGCAAATGGCTTACTATGTAGGCACTTGGCAGGGGGAGGAGCCAGGAGCACCAGTGGGGGACCCAAGAAACAGGATTCAGGGCTGCTCTGTGCAAAACTGCACAGAGCAGGTTAGTATAACATATATTTATTTGAATAAAAAAAAATCCAGCATCTACAATCACTTTAACCACTTGCCTACAGGGCACTTGTACCCCCTTCCTGCCCAGGCCAAATTTCAGCTTTCAGCGCTGTTGCACATTGACAATTGCACGGTCATGCAACACTGTACCCATATGAAATTTTTTGGTGGTATTTAATCACCTCCTGGGTTTTTTAGTTTTTGCGAAACAAACCAAAAAACTACAATTTTATAAGAAACTAAGAAAAAAAATTTAAATTTTCAAAGTGATTTTTCTCCTTCACTGATGTGCGCTGAGGCTGCAGTGATGGGAACTGATAGGCAGCACTCATCACTGATGGCACTGAGACAGCTCAGATGGGCACTGATATGTGGCACTGATGGGGCTACACTGATCATCAGTGCCCTGATGATCAGTGTACATGTCCTCTCTGAGGAATGCAGATTACCAGCTCTCCTCTCCTTGCAAGCTGTCAGCATGACAGTTTGTGAGGAGAGAAATGCCAATAACAGGCACTTCCTTAGTTGCATGCATTCAGCTGTGATTGGACACAGCTGATCACATGACAGAGCCGAAGTCTTTTGGCTCTCTGTTGATCGGTGAATCGCTGTGTCTGAGCAACAGAGTGCACTACCGATCACTGCACTGCGCGCCCCCAGAGTCGGGCACATGTGACACGAGTGGGAGGATGTCATGACATCCTCCCAGAACGAGAGAACTGCTTTGGTTAAGAGCTTGCACCAACAAGTAGTAATGGGTTTTTAAGGGTCTGGTTTTGGATTTTGGGTGGGTTTCGATTTGCCTTTTGTTTGTAAATGTGTTTCTGTAGCAGGTTGCATACATCCTACTGATGTGCCACTTCACATACAGGTTTGTGGTACCCCAAGCGGGTCATTTAAATTAATTGGGCATTTTTTAAATGTTTCGCTGTTATGATTTTTTCTGTGTCATTAAAGGAATATTGGAGCACTGTTCTGCCTAATAATTGCGCCAATGGTGTCTGGGATGTAATCCAGTCAATTTATGCTGTATAGATGAAGTTGAATTAATCCAGCTTTTTACACCTTCACATTGCATGTGGTCCTGGAATACTGAAAAATCAGTGAATTAAGAGAAGTACTTGGCAATCTTTCCTTCGTGACAGTTTGCATCATGTGGACGATCTAGAACTTTGCTGGCAGTGTGATTAATACATTGATAGTCCTATGTACTTTTAAGACACTTCAGCAATTTCCAGCATTGTTTCTTTACATGGACCTACAGCATGCAGGCAAATCTTTTTGGTGAGTTTTAGTTCTCTGGTTAGAATTTTGGTTTTCTGCTGACCTGGAAAAGTAGAGAAATGAAGTAGTCTGACAGTTAACGGCATGCTTGTTCCTGGTTTGTGACTCGTAAATTGGGCATAGCCAGACCACTAACATTTTCAGTAGGAGGCCAGCAATTACAGCCCTTAATGCACACAACAGGCATATGTTAAACTGACTTGGGATATACAGTGAGGAACAGAAGTATTTGAACACCCTGTGATTTTGCAAGTTCTCCCACTTAGAAATCATGGAGAGGTCTGAAATTCACATTGTAGGTACAATCCCACTCAGACAGAATTTAAAAAAAAAAAAAATTCAGGTAATCACGTATGATTTTTTTTTTTTTTTTTTTTAAAAGAATTTATTTGTCTTGAACATAAGTATTTGAACACCTAAGAAATAGCAAGAATTCTGGCTCTCAAAGACCTGTTACTGTGCCTTTAAAAAGTCCACCTCTACTCTACAATCTAACTTATTAGCACCTGTCTGAACTCTCTAAAGACACCTGTCCACCCCACAGTCAGTCAGATGCCAACTACTACCATGGGCAAGACCAAAGAGCTGTCAAAAGACACCAGAGACAAAATTGTGGACCTCCACAAGGCTGGAAAGGGTTACGGGGCAATTGCCAAGCAGCCTGGTGAAAATAGATCAACTGTTGGAGCAGTTGTTAGAAAAATGGAAGAGGCTAAAGACAACTGTCAGTCTCCCTCGGACTGGGGCTTCATAATAAGAAAGGTGAGGAATCAGCCCAGAACTACAACGGAGAGGAGCAGGGACCACAGTTTGAAAGGTCACTGTCGGTAGAACACTATGCTGTCATAGTTTCAAATCATGCATTGCATGGAAGGTTCCCCTGCTCAAGTCATCACATGTCCAGGCCCGTCTGAAGTTTGCCAATGACCATCTGGATGATCCAGAGGAGGCATGGGAGAAAGTCATATGGTCAGATGAGACCAAAGTAGAACTTTTTGGTCTAAATCGTACTAGTTGTGTTTGGAGGAAAAAGGATGAGTTGCATCCCAAGAACACCATCCCTACTCTGAAGCATGGGGGTGGTAACATCATGCTTTGGGGGTGCTTTTCTGCAAAGGGGACAGGACAAATGCACTGTACTAAGGAGAGGATGAATGGGGCCATTTATTGTGATCTTGAGCAACAACCTCTTTCCCTCAGTCAGAGCATTGAAGATGGGTCATGGCTGGGTCTTCCAACATGACAACGACCTGAAGCACACAGCCAGGATAACCAAGGAGTGGCTCCGTAGGAAGCATATCAAGGTTCTGGAGTGGCCTAGCCAGTCTCCAGACCTAAATCCAATAGAACATCTTTGGAAGGAGCTGAAACTCTGTGTTGCTCAGCGACAACCCCAAAACCTGACAGATCAAGAGGAGATCTGTGTGGAGGAGTGGGCCAAAATCCCTGTTGCAGTGTGTGCAAACCTGGTCAAGAACTACAGGAAACGTTTGACCTCTGCAATTGCAAACAAAGGCTTCTGTACCAAATATTAACACTGATTTTCTCAGGTGTTCAAATACTTATGTTCAGCAGTGCAAGACAAATTCTTTAAAAATCATACAATGTGATTTCCTGAATTTTTTTTAAATTCTGTCTCAGAGTGGGAATGCACCTACAATGTGAATTTCAGACTCCTCCATGATTTCTAAGTGGGAGAACTTGCAAAATCACAGGGTGTTCAAATACTTCTGTTCCTCACTGTATAGTATGCAATTATGGTGATTAAAGTATATGTAAACCTTGACAATGAACTTCTCAGAAATGTGTTAAAAATCAGTCGCCCTGTGTCCTCTGTATACTCCTTGTGTTCTCTAAAGCCCACTATAAACTGTATGAAATTCAAACGATTGCGCCTTGTACTTTTACCCAGTGTTTACACTTTAGCCTGTATAGCTCTCCTAGTTATCTTAGTCTACAAAATGATTAGCATTTAGGTTTCGAAACCACTTGGAACTCCAGTCTCTACAAAGTACGCTAGGCAGGGCTGCCAACATTCGATCCACAAACAACCTGTGTTGTCCTGAGTGCATTTCTGGCAGCTCAAATGTATAAAACACAAGGGAATGTGCATGTATTGCAGAGATTTAATGCATCTCTTTTTTGCTTTGACATATGCTATTATACACGATTATGATATGCATTTCAAAACTGTACACACGCTTACATGTTTTATTTTGCAATTTTTTTTTTTTAAATTTGGTTACCCACCTTTTGAACTGTCTGTCAGGTATAGAGAAACTCTGCTGCCACCAGCGTTGCCTGGATGAGCCAAATACATTTCCATAAACTACTAATTATTGCTGGTTTGTACCATCTTCAGTTACATGGCATTAAACTCAAAAGAAAGCATCGAGGGCCAGTTCACACCAAGAATCACACAGGACTGCACTGTGTTCCTATGCAATTCACATGCAGTTCTGTTAGTATGATTTTAGCCCATTCATTTGGAATGGGTTGAATTTACACCACACTGAAAGTAGTGCATGCATTACTCTTTGAAACTTGCTGCAACCGCTTTGCATGGTACTCTGCATTTGTGACCTGTATTTGGAGGGGTCAAAGGGCTCATTTACACTTCGACTTTCACACATTAAAGTGCCTTCTGTATCGTCATGCTTTTTTGATGGGTTGACGGTTTGTGAAGGTATAATGAATCCTGGCAAATGCCCCGTGTATGGTTCTCTTTGTTTAAAAGCAGCCCAGTAGAACCCTGGCTCAGTAGTACCCCAAACTTAGCAGATCCTCAGCTCATTAGTACCTCTGTATAGCAGATCTCCTGCTCAGTAGTAACCCCCCCCAGCCCTGCTGATCCCATACTCAGTAGTAACCCCCAGCCCTGCTGATGCTCCTCTCCCTGGTCCTTGCTATATTGCTCCCATGCTGCACACCACATGTGACATTGCTAGTTTCTCCTGCTCCACCAGCTCTGCTAATCTTCTGCCACTCACTCCTCTCTAGTCCCAGCTCACCTTCCCCTATAGTATTCACATGTTGCACATT